ATGGCAGGCGCATCGCCGGTGATGCTCGATGTGGATTCCGATGTTCTTCGCGCTGGCGTCGCCGCTGCACCGCCGACGTCGCCGATGCATCGCCGATGCCTCGGACGCATCGGTGATGCGGCGCGATCTTTCGACCCCACCGACTCGGACCCCGTCTAAAAGGCCTCGGATGCTACACGCTGAAAGTCTTCGGGTTCGAGGTTTTCGGACGCTATTGTCGGCGTTCGGCGGTTTTTCAGCTGCGGGGTGCTCTCAAGCAGGTCGCCTCGCCGAAGGCCGCGGGGTCCCCAGATTCCCTTGAACGGCCGCTGGACAGTCGAGTCATGACCCGGAAAGGTCGTGTCGTGGAAGCCAGGGCCGAAGGTTTTTCGTCCTTTTCGGCTTTCGGGGGCCCTCGCTGGGCCACGGGACAGCAAAACATGCCCAGGACACACAGCTGTCCCCGAGGGGACTGTTCCTTTGCTTCCTGGCCGCTGGCCAGGAAGCAAAGGAACAATCATCGCGTGGCGATAACGGGTGTTACCAAGGGGGCGGGAGGGGGCCAGTCACGTCACGATTCGCGTCGGCGCCGTTTCAGAATGCGTGATGCTATTATAACTCTTCACGCTTCGCGCATCCCCACCAGTCGGCTTGTGCTGCGCCCAGTAGCTAATTAGGCTTGCCCGTCGGCCCGGACACCCTCTTCGCCGCCTGCGCTCTTCGCTCGCGGCCGCGACCAAAAAGTATCCCAACCAGCCCATTTCGAAACCCTGCCCATGAGAGCTGACGGAAACGGGACGAAGAGACAGATTTAGTGAAACAAAGCGGGCAACCAGGGTGAGCAGAAAGATTTTTGGGAGCAAGTGGGTTGCCTTGGAGAGCCTCTTCGGGCCATCCCTGTCCCGCGTGGGGGCGAGGGAAGAAAGAGGAGGAGGAGGAGCAGGAAAACGACGACGACGACGCGGAAGAGGAACAATCAAAGGGGGGACTATGAGGGCAAGGACGAGCGCGAGGAGGAGGAGGATGACAACGAGGACTAGGACAGAGCCCTCACAGTCGCCCCTTGGAACCCTCTTGGGGCTCTGTTGGGGGATCTTGGAGTCCTCTTGGGGCTCTTTGGGGGGTGGGTGGGGGTCTATGGAGGCCTCATTGGGGCTTACTTGGGGATCCCTTGGCGCCCTGGGGTGCTTCGAGGCCATCGATCAAGAGGGGGGGTGCTAACGTTTGCTCCCCCCTCCCCAGTGGCCCAAAATGGGCCCCAAACCTCAGAACAAATCAATGATGTTGACCTCCTGGCCGAGGCCATCTTGGACGCTTTGACACCCCACGGCCCGCCAAAAAAAGGTCAGGGAGGGGAGTGGGAAGGTGCCGTGTATTCCTCCCCGAAGGGAACAGGGTTCGGGAACAGGGAACAGAATTCGCCGCCCCCTTTAGCCCAGAGGGTTGGTGGGATTCCGAGACGTTGCCAGCGCGATTCTTGACGTGACCAAAGTGGGTAGGGGAGGGGCGGGGCCGTCTGTGGGCGTGATTGCAAATATTACAAATAGACTGTTCCAAGCGGGCGGTAAGGGAAACAGGTTCTGCGGTCCTCGGCCGTGTCTGCGCTTCCGCGCCACAATGTTTCCTCTTCTTCCTGCCCTGGGATCTGGGCGCCGCACTTTTGATTCAAACCTGGCCTCCTTCGCCCCCGGGCTATCACAGATCGGTTTAGCTCGAACACTGATGGAGAGATATGGGGTCTAGGGCGCTGGTCGTGACTTTTCGCGATGCTGCTTTTGACGCAACGTGGGGTCTCAGGGTTCCACCCGCTCTTCCTCCGTGGCCAGCTGCTGCAGCGTGGAGTCCCCTTCCCATTAGTTGGGAAGATCCTCTCCAAGGGCCCGCGGGCTCAGAATGAGCAGCTTATCTTGCACTGGCGGAAGGCCCCAGTGTCCAGGACCCGCTTGCCTTAGAACCTGTTTAGTTCGTGCGAGAGAGGGCGGGAGGAGGAGGAGGAGGAGGAGGAAGAAGAGGAAGAATAATAGGACAAATAAACATAATAATAATACTAATAATCGTAAGAAGACGAATAAGAACAATAATAATAGTAATAATACGAAGAAAACTAATAATAAGAAGAAGACGAATAATAATACTACTAGTAATAAGAATAATAATACGAATAATAATAATACTAAGAATAATAAGAATAATAAGAAGAAGAAGATGGTGAAGAAAAAGAAGAGGAATAATAATAATAATGATAAGAATAATAATAAGAAGGAGAGGATGAAGAAGAAGAGGAGGAGGAGGAGGAGGCGGAAGAGGAGGAGGAGGAGGAGGAGGAGGCGAGGGGGGGGGGATGAGGATCAGAAATGGAGAATATGCCGATGCCGCTGAACCACCCTTTCGTTGTACGTTCTTTTCGCTGCGGCCATATTCGCCGCGGTATCCTGGTTAGCACCCGTGGAGCATTCGGTGGGCTAGCGGAATCATGTTTTTTTCTGTTCAAAAGGAGGGGCACGCGGTGCAGGGGCGAGATGAGGCGCCTTCGCCGGGGAGGGTCGGGGAAGGTCGAGAGCAGAGTCTTTTTCTGGTCGTATTTGCCCCCCCCCCTCCCCCCCGCGGGCCTCCACGAAACAAATCTGTATGAACATGCATGTTGGCGCTCCCCGGGGATTTCACGTTGGGTTGTCGTCCTGACGCCGCCGATGTTTTGATGCTCTTAACGCGCGGCCCCTGGAGTTCTCGACCCTTTGCAGCGGGCTGCTGCTTGTTAGTCCCAGATCAATTGATCCAGGCCCAGAAGCTGCCTCTTGATGCCAAAGTTTACGAACAACAGCTTTCTATTGGTTGATGCAGGGAGTTGGGTTGCTGGTGGTGATGATAGTGATTACGATGGCCATGGGTCATGATTGCGATGATGAGGGTGATGGTGGTGATGCTGGTTGTGGTGATGATGACGATGACGATGCTGATGCTGATGATGATGCTGATGATGGTCATGCTGATGATGCTGCTTATGATGCTGCTTCTGATGATGATGCTGATGATGATGATGCTGACTATGGCGATGGCTATGCTGTTGCTGGCGATTATGATGCTGATCATCGTGGACATGACGATTTGTATGACAATGGCCAGGCACGTGATGAGTATACTGTTAATTACGGTGACGATATCGATAACCATGACGACGATGATGTTGATGATGATGGTGATGAGGAGGAGGAGGATGGCGATGCTATTGATGATGATGATGGCGAAGGTGATGATGATGATGATGATGATGATGATGCTGATGATGATGATGCTGATGATGATGATGATGAGGACAATCATGGTGATGATGCTGATGGCGATGCCGATGCCGATGACGAAAATGATGAGGATGGTGATGGTGATGGTGATGGTGGTGATGCTGATGATGATGATGATGCTGATGATGATGATGATGATCATCATGACGATGTCGACGACGACGATAATGATGATGCTGCTGATGATGATATTGCTGTTGTTTATGGTGATGGATTTTGATGATAATGACGAGGAGGATGATTAAGATAAGGTGGTCATGATCATGCGGAGGAGAAGGATGCGGAGGAGGAGGACGATGATGAGAGGAGGAAGGGGAGGAGGAAGAATGAGGTGGTGATGATGATGGTTGAGGAGGAGAAGATGGAAGAGAAGCAGGCCTCCCGAGGACTCTGGGGTCTCCAGAGACCTCCATGGGGTTCCAATCGGATTCCACATTGCCTGAAAGGCTCGATCCTCTATTTCCAATGTGGTGGAGGACAGGAGTTGGAGTGTTTTGTTCAAGCCCAGTGAGTCGGAAGGAGGGACAGGCAGAGGAGGTGGACCGGGAGGAGGTGGTGGAGCAGGAGGTGAAGGAGTAAGTGGCGGAGGAGGAGGACGAGGGACCAGTGTAAACGCAAGGCTCATCGACGGTGTTGGAATACATCCCTCCCTCTTGAGAAGCTCGTGCAAGGGTTCATTTCCACTGAGGGATCTGCCGCGTTGGGAGACAGCCATTCGAAGATCCTGAAGCGTGCCAAACACCATTCTCGGGACTCCCACGCCACGGATCAACTTGACTGTTGCGTCTGGTGTCTGGGCGATCCTGAATTGTGCCAGAGCACGATTCCTGGGACTTTATCCGCGAGCTAACGTAACTGTTGCACCCTCACAATACGGAGTCCTTCCAAGACACCATGTCTGGTACTTTGACCATTGGACTCCGTGAAATTTCTTCCGAGTTGAAAAACAAACAAACGTGCGCGGCGCTGAGGCGAGAGCCACATTCTGAAAACCAGCAATCCGTGAAGCTGTTGCAGTTCCACAGAGCTACATGTCGGCAGCGACCCGACCTCAATCCGTGAAGCTCTTGCAAATTTTGAGCACGAATGTGCGCGGCGCTGAGGCGAGAGTTCCATTTGGAAATCCAGCCGCCCCCAATCCGTGAAGCTCTTGCAGTTTTGAAAACAAGAAGTGTGCGGCGGTAAGGCGATAGCCTGATTCTGATAGGGACCCGCCCTCCATCCATAAGTTTCAGAGTCATACGTGGTGAGGAAGTCTCAGGCGAATCGCCCAGCCCCCCCTCTCGATTGGCCTCTGGGTGCGACGGGGAGGGGTTAGCTAGGTATACGGACAAGGCATGGAGAAGGATGAGCAGGAAGAGGAGGAGGAAGGAGGCGGAAGATGATGATGATGATGATGATGATGATGATGATGATGATGATGATGATGATGATGATGATGATGATGATGATGATGAGGATGATGAGGATGAGGATGAGGATGAGGATGAGGATGAGGATGAGGATGAGGATGAGGATGAGGATGAGGATGAGGATGAGGATGAGGATGAGGATGAGGATGAGGATGAGGATGAGGAGGAGGAGGAGGAGGAGGAGGAGGAGGAGGAGGAGAGGAGGTAGGAGGAGGAGGAGGAGGAGGAGGAGGAAGGGGAGGAGGAGGAGGAGGGAAAGCAGGGAGAGGAGGAGCGGGAGGCAGGGAGGAGGGAGGCGGAGGAGCAGGAGGCGGTGGTGGCCCGGCTGCCGCCCCTTGTGCCCCGGCCCGCGCCCGTCTGCTGGGCTGCGCCGCGGTGCTGGCGCGCCGCCTCCCTGCGCTGGGCGCACGGCGCGCCCTCCCGCCCGCCCGCCGCCCGCTGGCCGCCCGCGAGCGACGGGCGGCGCCGGCGGCGGCCGACGGCGGCCGCGGCGGCGGGGAGGGCGAGGCGGGGGACGGGGGTCAGGCGATCGCAGGAGGAGGAGGAGGAGGAGGAGGAGGAGGAGGAGGAGGAGGAGGAGGGTCAGGCGATCGCAAAGATGGCTCAAAGGGGAGTGATTAGCGACGGGTCCCGTTTTTCCATCGGAAAGCGCGGATCACCGCCTCCGAGCGAGGCAGCACTGGCCGCATTTTTTGGGGGGGGGGGGGGGCACCACCCCCGATCCATGGTTTTGGCGACCGCACGCCAAATCCATGGATCGGTAATCCATGTTTGCGCTCCCCCGAGGGGGGGGTCTCATCGCTGCAAGCCACCGGCGACGGCCGACGGCGGCCGCGGCGTCGGGGATGGCGAGGCGGGGGACGGGGGTCAGGAGCGAAATAAGGACGTACACATACATGAATCCACGCTGGTTCCGAGAGTACGCATTTCCCGAATGTTTCGTATCACGCGGCCAGGGTCGCGGATCGAGGGGCCGTGCTCATGTACATAGTTGGGCGCGTACGTCTTTTGTGGACTCCCCAGGGGGGGGTCTCATTGATGCAAGCCGTTGGGAAGCAGTTCATAATTGTGGGACGGTGTGCCTTTGTAGTTCTTGGCGCTGCATCTCTGTGATCGTGGCCGCACGCGCCTGCCAGGAAAAGAAAACCAGGAAGGAAGGGGGTGAGCAGTTTCATCGTTTCAAGCCGAGGCCTTAGCACTAGTCTAGGCCACCCAGATGGCGCCCGAGTGGATGGGGTCCGAGGATCGCGCCGCTTCGGTGATGCGGCTCGATGTGGAGCCCGATTTTCTCCACGCCGACGTCGTCGATATGTTGCTGACATCGCCGATGCATCTTCGATGCATCGGTCATGTATCGATGATGCAGCCCGATCCTCCGACCCCATCTACTCGGACCCTATCGGAGACCTCGGGGGATAGAGGGAGGTCCGTCGTTTCAAGCCAAGTCCCTAAGACTAGAGGGGTGCATGCTTTTCGCCCAGAGGTTTCTGACGGGCTCACGCGGTACGTAATTCTTCACGCTTCGCATATCCCCACCAGCCCATCCCAAAACAGCAATTGTTTGCGAAGCGTACTGACTGTCGTTATGTTCGGGTGTACCTTCTTCTGCCCTCGCATATACCCTCATGTTCCTCCTATATCCCACTTGCTCCCTCTTAGCCCTTTCTTGTGGGAGGAGTGGGTGGGGGACGAGGCGGAGGAGGTGGATGAAGAGAAGGCGGTGGTAGGCGAGAGGGACCCAGAGGGAGATAACGGCGACGACGACGACGACGGCGATGACCACAACAACGACGACGACGATGACGACGACGACGACTTCGACGACGACGACGACGATGACGACGACGACCGCGACGACGACGACGGCGAAGACGACGACGATAACGACTACGACGACCCCGCCTGCTCCCTTTTAGCTTTCTTTTGGCAGGAGTGGAAGGAGGACGGGACGGAGGAGGGGGAGGAACCAGATAAGGCGGTGGGAGACGAGAGGTAGATAGCGGCGACGACGGCAACGATGGCGATGACCACAACAACGACAACGACGACAACGACAACGACGACCACGATGACATTGACAACAACGGCGGCTACGACGACGACCGACCGACCGACCGACCGACCACGACGACGACGACGACGACCGCGACGATGCCGACGACGAAGACGACGACGACTTCAACGACGGCGACGACGAGTCAAACATCAATGCCTTTTCTGGGTCCTTCTCTCTGAGAGCCTCTTAGAGGCATCTTGGGGCTATCAAAGGGCCTTTTACGGATATGTTGGAGGTCTCTGGGCCCTTCCGGGGTCCCCGTGGTGCCTCTTGGGACCTTTGGGGCTTTTTTGGGGGGTCTTGGGGCCATCTTGGGGCTCTTTGGGGGGGTTTGGGGGGTCTTCGGGGGCCACTTTGGAGGCCACGACTCAAGCAGGAGCGCGGCGTCAATTACGGTCCCCCCTTCGGAACCCGTCAAGTGGCCTCTTGGGGCCCTCTTGGGCCGCTCTTGGGCCGCTCTGAGGCCCGTCTTGAGCCTCTCTGGGGCCTGTCTTGGGGCTCTCTTGGGCCATCTTGGGGTCATCTTGAAGCCTCAAGATCCCATTGAATGCGAAAAGGCGAGAAGAGAACACATTGATGTTCCCCAGGTTTTTGAAGGATGTTGGCCTCTCGGGGGCGTCCTTGGGAGGCTCCGTGGCCACTTGGGGCCGTCTTGGGGGGGGCGGTCTTGGAGCCTCGCGTAGGCTTGTTAGGAGCTATCTTGAGTCATCGAGGGCTCTCCTGAGCGATCTTGGAAGTCATCATGGGCTCTGTTGGGCTGTCTTGGCGCCTTCTTGTGCCAAGACAGCAGACGCTCGAACGACCCGCGCCCCCCCCCCCCCCTCCAGGCCCAGGGGGAGGGGGTAGGGGGAGGGGTCAAGCTACCCACCCGACCGCAAGCCGTCTAGCTCACTCCCACCCGCCCTCCCAACACATAAGTAACACCCGAGCCTCAGCATGTTCCGCGGTCGTCTTTGGACCCCAAAGCCGACCCCAGGTGCGCGACGCTTGGGCGAGGTGCGCTACGCGTGCCAGGGGCGCCACGCGCGCCAGGCAGCCCTGAGGCCCGAACGTGCCAGGCACGCCTTGTGCGCCAGATGCGCCACGTGCTCCGAGTGCGCCAGGTGTGCCGCACACTCCAGCCGCGCCAGGTGCGCCACGTTCGGGGCACGTGCAGAGTGCGTCAAGTGCGCCTGCGCACGTGACAGCATACATCGGGAAACATGTCGGCCCCCACCATCCTTGTCGAAAACCAATGCCCATCATTGTGTCTGGTGGGCCTCCGCACAGCAGGCCATGCGCCACCACCCCCGCGGTCCCTGTTAAAACCCATGTGACAGTGATCGCGGGATAGTCGCACATTATCCAGATTCAACCGCGAGGTGCATGTTGTATGGTTTTTGGTTGTATGGTTCTTGTTGTATGGCAAGGTAGCCCTGCGCGCAGCAGGGTATATGCTGCCACTCCCGCCGTCCTTGTCAAACACAAAACAAAGTCTTCCGGGGCCTCATGAACATGACTCAAGACTTTGCCCCGAAGTGTACTTTTTATCATTTATTGATAGGGATGGTGGGGGGGCCGCATCGGGTTGGCCGCGCATGCTCCAAATGTGGAGGCAGACTGCTGTTTGTACTGTTTTTGACAGGGATGGTGGGGTACGGGTCGTCATGGTGTCATCATGGTTCCTGGTTGGACGCCGGTCGCCTGGGGGAGGGGTGTATACCAATAACGGACAGTGATAAGCCCCTCCCCGAAGCTGAAGAAGAGGTGTTGGACAGAGGGGGCTCTCTAAACCACTCACGCCCAGAAGGCTGGTGGGATTACATGCTCCGCCCGTCTCTGAGCTGTGACGAGGGATTTGTGCCAGGAGCGGTGACCCCGAAGTGTTCGTAAGCCCTGCTATTTTAGCAGGACGTACAGGGGTTGGATCAGCGGCAGCGTTTGGAGGGATATGCGCCGAGGTCAGTTTCAACGTTCGCGTTTCGAGGTTTTCGGACGTCCTCGTCGGTTCTCAGCGGTTTTCCAGCTTCGGGATGCATTCCAGCAGCTGCGCCTCGCCGAGGGCGTCCCGTGCGTGCCAAGGTCGTCCCGAACGGCTGCCGGAGATCCTCCTCCTCCTCCTCCTCCTCCTCCTCCTCCTCATCCGCGCTCAGCGGAGCGGCGCTCTCATTGTCAGTACCCTCAGTACCCTCCTCCTCCTCCTGCTCCTCCTCCTCCTCCTCCTCCGCCTCCTCCTACTCCTCCTGGGGAATTACGACACGACGCGGACTGTTGGGGGAAAGTCGGCTCCCCGTCGCCCACGGATCGCGGACAGGGGGCTTGTGGTGGCCCACCCCGCCCGGGAGCGCGTGCAGGTTCGTTTACCGAGGGCCCGTCGCCGAGCTGCAGTCGAGCCGGGTTAGTACCTTTACAATCTTCTTGGCGTCTGACGCTTTGGGCGCTTCATGGATGCGCTTGCGCAGCGCGAGCGAGGTGTCAAGGGACGGGCGCGTGGAGCGAGATGCGCCGAGGCGCTCCAGCGATCTTGGAGGTGCCCTCGGGGTGCCCGCGGCGAGCCCCAGTGGTCGCCCAGTGGCAGCGCGGTCGGCCTACTAAGTAGGTCGACCCTGCCAAGTCAAGGGTGCCCTTGTGTCCAACGCCTCGCGGCCCATCCTTTCACATTCATGCGGCAACGTGGCCCTCGGGAAAGTCTCGTGTCCTCTCGCTTGTCCTCTTCAATACGCCCCGACTGTACAGCTCGACGCCGCCACCCCTGAGGCGGTCCCCCCAGGACGTTTCCTCTCAGGGGAGGAGGAAGAGGGGGGGGGAGGAGACGTGGAGGGAGAGGAGGGCGAGGGGGGTGGGGGTGAGTGTGGGTGGGGAGGATGGGGGCGAGGAGGTGGGGAGGCGGGGAGGAGGAGGCGGGCGACGGACGCGGAGCAGGGAGGGAGGGGATTCTTGGGGATGCGACTCTGATGAGGCTCCCGACCTGTCAGAAGAGGCTGGCGCTCAACTGTCTGGCAGCAGCTGGTATTCGGCCAGCGGACAGGGCGCCAAGGTCTTGTGAGAAACCCATACTCCCCGCCCCCCAATCCCCAGCTCCAATCTCTCCCCTTCATCATGCATCAGCTGGTATTCAGCAGCAGACAGAAAAGGCGCGAGGAGGGAGGGGGAGGTGGCCAGCACGGGCACGGAAAATGAGCCCAACGGGCTGAAATATGAATTCTAGACGCTTCGCGTATCCCCACCAGTTTTGGCAGTTTGGCCGCGCGGCAGCTTGGCTGCTTCTCGCATTCGTGCGTTCTGCTGCCGTTGGACTTTGCGGCTTCGGCCACCCTGGTACTTCGCAGCCTGCCAACGCTCACGCCTACACCGGGCACCAATTCGACTTCCGACAGTCGGTTCGCTTGGCCGCGGCCACCCTGGTACTTTCGCAGTAGTCTGGGGGCTTGCGCCCTTGCATCTAATTACTCGTCTTCTGTCCCTGGTCGCCGGTCTTCCCGACTACCTGCAGCTCCCGACGCGTTGCATACGTGCACCCTGGCAGTACTGGTATTCAGCTGCAGCCTGCCCCCTCCACTCGTCGGCCCGCCGCTGAGGTGCTGCGTGAGGCTCCGCCCCGCCGCTTTGGGTGTGGCTGCGCCCCGTCGCTTTAGGTTAATTCGTCGTTGCGTGCCCCGCTTTGACTGGACCCGCCGCTGGCGCGCTCGCCTGCGGCCGCTGACTAAAAAGTATCCCCACCAGCCCATCCAGAAACGATGCTCAGGAAAGCTGTTGGAAGAAGGGAAGAAGAGACGCACATAGTGAACCAGAGCGGGAAACAACAGTGATTTGGGATATCTTTTGTGGCGAAGGTTGCAAGTGTTATTGCTGGTGCTCTTGCTCCTGCTGGGACTGCTGCTGCTGCTGCTGCTGCTGCTAGTGCTGCTGCTGCTGTTGCTGCTGATGGTGCTGGCTCTCGGATGATGAGTCGGCGGATAAGGGGGAGGAGGAGGAGGAGGAGGAGGAGGAGGAGGAGGAGGAGGAGGAGGAGGAGGAGGAGGAGGAGGAGATGGACAAGGACAAGGACAAGGACAAGGAGAAAGGAAACATGACGAACATCAGATCCCCTTAGGATGAATCTTGGGAGTTGTTTTGGGAACCTCTTGGAGCGTCTGGGGGGGATCTTGGGGGCCTCGGGGATCCTCTTGAAGCCTCTTCGGGGTCTCTTGGAGGTCTCCTGAATGCCTCTCGGAGCCCCTTGGGATATCTCTTGGGCGGTTTTTTGGAGGCCTCTTGGGGCGTCTTGGGGGTCTCTTGGCGATCCTAAGGTCTTGGGCGTCTTGGGTGCCTCGGGGAGGCCTCTTGGGGCCGCTTGAGTCCTCTTGGGGGTCTCTTGGGGGCCTCTTGGGGCCATCTTCTTGGGGCTTTCTTGGGGCCATCTTGGGGCCTCTTGGGGCCTCCTGGGCGCCTCTTGGGGCCATCTTGGAGGACATCGATCAAAAAAGGGGGGCTCCCCAATTACGGCCCCCCCCTCAGGAGGCCAACATGGGGCCAAAGCCATAGTAACACCAACGATTTTTGGCTTCCTCGCCGAGGCCTTTTTGGACGCTCAAACGCGTCGCGGAACCCCCCGTCCAGGTCCAGGAGAGGGGGTAGGGGGAGGGGTGAACCCCTCCCCGAAGGGGAAGAGGAAACTCCCTAAACCACCTACGCCCAGAGGGCTGGTGGGATTGCAGCAGCAGGATGGCAGCAGCAAGCGTATATGCGCAGGGACAGCGCATACAGTGCAAGCGGCGGGGAGGTCCTCGAAGGTTGAACAGTCACTCCCTGGCCGCGGGATCGTCTGTGCAATTCAAACGCAACAGCAGTCCGTCCAACATGGCTGGTCCAGCCTTCTTTACTGAGGGGGGACAACAATCTCCGCACCCTGCAAGCTTAACGAGAGACGGGGCGGCGAAGGACCACCACGCACGATCATCACCAAAGCCGTTCCAGGGAGGGAGGGCAACATGGCTAACACATCACTCCTTAGCGGCGCGCAGCGTTCGTGGGCACATGCTCCCCGTGTGGCTTCCTGGCGGCCCCTTTCATGACCGGGGGGACTCGAGCGCCCCTCGGAACGCCTCCTCTGGCGGCTGCCTGCATGCCGACTCTGCTCGCGGCCAGGGCTCGGTCAAAACCCAGAAAGCATGGGAAAATATGGGGAACCCTGTTGTTTGTGTAATTCTTTGTGTGTCCCAGGGCCCCTTCACTGTCCTGCCCTGCTCCCCTCCCCGGCTCCCCTGTCCTCGGCAGGCCTGGAGGTTGACGCCAAGACCAACATCGGCGGTGTGCTTCCACCGAGGGGAGACGGTTCTGATCTCGGTGACGGTGGCCATACTCGGGCTTCCCAGGTGGCCGAAAGATTACCACCAGCTGGGCGACTACGGCGGCCACCTCGCGGAGCTGGCGGCGGCGGGCATCACGTACGTGCCCATCGTGTGGTCCGCCTACGGCCGCGCCCACCCCGAGGCGCAGGCGGCGCTCCGGGCGCTGGCGCTGCGGGCTGCGCGGCGCCGCGGGCTGCGCTGCCACCGGCCGCTGCTGCGCCGGGCCGAGGCGGCCATCGGCGTCGCAATCTGGCGCCGGGCCGCGGCCATGGTGCACGCATGCCTGCCGGCGCTCACTCCCGAGGAGGAGCGCCTGCTGTGGGCGGAGGCATCGCCCGCGCGGGAGGCGTGAGCTAAAAAAAAAAAACAACAGTTAGGATCATCTTCCCCCTGTGGAGGCAGCCCACCGTGCTGGTGTCGGTGCCACTTTCGAGGCCTCCAGCATCCCAGCCCACCATCTACGGGCGGAGGGACGTGGCACCTGGCTGGCGGGGGGGGGGGAGGTGGCAGGCGGGAGGGACCCCTCGCACGTGCCCGGCACAACGGGCGCCGGGCTGCCCCCCCAGCCGGGGGTCACGTGGGGCCCTGCCGTCGCCACGGCTGGACACACTCTGGCCAACAGAGACCAGGGGCAACGATAGGGGGGATAGGCATAGGGGGTCACGCATCGACCCCCAATCGCCCACTGATCGCCGATAGGGGTCTGATAGCCCCAACCCGCCCAGGAACGTGCAGATTCACCATCGGGTGCCTATCGCCGATTTATCGGCGATGTATCGCCCATTCGAGGTCGATGTTTCCCCCCCTATGCCTATCCCCCCCTATCGTTGCGCTCCAAGAGAGCAGATCGCAGCGGCACGCTCGGCGCCTGTCCACGTCTTGCTTGCAGTCGCAAGCGAGGGGGCAGCGGGCGGCGCCGGCGGCCGCGCGAGAGAGGCGGCTCCGTTCGCTCCCCCAGGAAGGCCCTGGCCCGCGCGGGCCCCGCGGCACGCAGCCAGAGAGGGCTGCCAGCGCCGCCGGGACTGATGTGTCACAGATGACAGGAGGAGGAGGAGAGGAGGAGGAGGAGGAGGAGGAGGAGGAGGAGGAGGAGGAGGAGGAGGAGGAGGAGGGGACGGAGGCCCATGCGTGTCGGGGCTCGGCCGCCGCGGCCTCCCTCCCCCCGCAGGGCGCCGCGCAGCGGCAGTCCCCGGGCGCGACGGCGGGCGCCCGAGGAGTACGCCGCGCTCGGGTGCCGCGGGGGGGGGGGTCGTGCGAGCACCGGTGAGGATCGAGGTTCGGGGCTGGAGGTCCGCCGAGGGTGGGGAGGATCGAGAGTGAGGATGGGGAGGATGATGATGAAAATGTAGATGGTGAGGATGACGATGACGATGAGGATGAGGACGATCATGAGGAGGAGGAGAAGGAGGAGGAGGAGGAGGAGGATGGTGATGGTGGTGATCGTGAGGCTGGCGATGAACAGGACGATGCTGCTGAAGGTGAGGCAGATGATGATGATAATGAGGAGGAGGAGAATATGGTGGATGTTGATAAGGACTATGAGGATGCTAGCGACTTTGATGGTGAGTTTGATGATAGCGATGATGATTATGATGATGTCGATGACTAGTATGATGATGATGATGATGATGATGATGATGGTGTAGGTGATGATTATGACAGTTGATGATTATGACGAGGATGATGATGTTGATGATGATGGTTCTGACGGCGACGATGACGATGATGTTGATGGTTGTGATGGTTGTGATGCTGACGATGGTGATGCTGATGATGGTAATGATTAACGTGATGAACGTGATGACATTGATGTTGATGTTGATGACGATGATGCTGATGATGATGATGATGATGATGATGGTGATGATGATGGTGATGGTGATGATGTTGATGATGTTGATGTTGATCCTGCTGCTGATGACGATGATGCCGATGATGATGAAACTTGATGGACTTCCACAAAGAATGCGCCCCCCTTTCGGATGTTCTTGGGGCATCTCTGGGGCCTGAGGGCCCTGCTTTGGGCCTCTCGGTGCCTCATGGGGCGTCTCTGGGGGGTTCTTGTGTCAATCTTGGGGCGAAGGGCTCGAAATAACAGTTCGTGCTCCCCCTCTTGACGGGCAGTTTTTGGGTGCCTCTTGGGCCGTCTTGGACGCTATGAAGACCGAGAAGGCGGTGGTGCTAGCACCAGGCTGAGGATTCGGATCCCTAGGGCCGCCCTCGTGGGCGTCCAGGAGCGTGATCGGCGTCGGCCCCTCCATTGCCTTTGACGTCGTCATCGTCATCGCCACCAGCGTCGCTACTATCATCATCATCATCATCATCATCATCATCATCATCATCATCATCATCATCATCATCATCATCATGTCTGTCGTTGCCGACGCCACCATGATATCGCGCCCGCCCGAAGGACCGACCCGTGTTGATATGCCCGCGCGTCAGTGCGGCTTGCGAGACGCGCTGGGAAGTACCCAGCGGTCAGCGCCAACGCGGCCGCGTCGATCGCGCCAGACTGGCTGGCCGCTTTGCGCGCGAGCTTGCGCGCGCCAGCGCGGCCGCAGCGATGCGCCAGCCAACGCCAGGCAGGCATCACAATTGCTGCCGCATGGGTTTTGCAAGCCAAGTTGAGGGTGGGTGGGTGGGGAATTGCGCGAGCAGTTGAATTGACAGCTCACTGCGAACGAGCGTATCGCACCGCGCAAACTGCGCCGCGTGGGTTCTCCCCCTGGATCATCCGCTCGTTTTGGGGATGTGCAATTTACATGCGATTGTGGCCCATCGTTCGTTCCAAACATGCATTCGTATCAGCGGTCAGCCGGTATGCAATATCGACGCCCCCCACCATCTTTTATTAAAGTATTGAGCGCGCGCTCGTTAATCGCGAAGCATCCGTTTCCGACAACCCATTGTGGAACATGTGGCGAAGTGTGCTCTCGCGTCGTCGCGCGCGCATGCTGTTTCGTGGGGATATTCGAACCGAGCGCTCCGAATACAAATTAAAACACATTGTTTGGCAACACGTTGTTTCATTACGTTTGTGCGCACGCTCGTGCGAATTGTTAAGCTGGCCACGTGTCTTCACATGTTCATCGAGTTCGACCACACGGTTGTCTCACGCGCGCATGTCGAAGTTTTTCGATCCGCTTCGCGCGCTTGCTGGGGCGGGTGCGCGGTCCCTGTCAACATTCCACGCGGGCGACTCGCGCCCGTCGGCCGCGCGCGCATGTCTAACTCGTTCCCCAACCTCCATCGCCGACGCGTGGACATCATCATCGTCATTTGCGTCATCAGCGTTGGAGCTTTCATTAGCCTTGCCATCGTCATCGTCATCGTCGCCGCTACCATCGCAACTATCATCGTCGTGTCTGCCGATGTCGACGTCGCCATGATACCGCGCCCGCCCGAAATACCGGCCCGTGCTGATATACCCGCGCGTCAGAGCGACCTGCGAGACGCGCTGGGAAGTGTCCAGCGGTCAGCGCCAACGCGGCCGCGTCTGTCGTGCCACGCTAGTTGGCCGTTTTGCGCGCAAACTTGCGCGCCTAGCGCGGCCGCAGCGATGCGCCAGCCACCGCATGGGAGGATCACATTTGCTTCCGCATGGGTTTTGCGAACCAAATTGCGAATTGCGCGAGTTGCAGGAGTTAGCAACGTCAATATTGGTAGGGGGACTTTCACCACACTGGTTTCACCACATACGTTGCATAACGTACAGAGCAGCACCTAAATTTCACAGCGTAGATCGCACCACACATTTGGATTGCGTAGATTGTCCCACATATATTGCACAACGTGCATTCTTAGAATCACATGGTTCGGGGTCCACGCTGGTTGTCATTTATGTATACGCACACCTGTATAGACATACGCCACTGCATACATACGCACGTATTATATATAGATCTTTTTGTTGTTTCTCTCTCTCTCTCTCTTGGTGGTGGCAGTTTGCAGGTCCGAGGCCTTGTGGATGCCTGCGGGGGTCTCCTACGGGGGGCATTCAGATGTGCACGTTGCCAAATCTAGCTTCGGCTCGCATACGTTATATTTTTTGGGTAGTGAGGAGGACTTATACCACGAACGCTAGATGTCTTCAACAGTGCATGGTGGTAAATAGATAGTATCTGAGTGCCAATCGTATCACCAGTGAAACAATGGTCAGGGTACCGAGGTAATGCTGATGATACTAATGGTAATACTGCCAAGACGGATACCAACATGAATGTCAGGAAGATGAGAAGGAAGGGGAGAAGGATGGGGCCGGGAGGGGAGTCGATGCCGCCTTTGTTGTTTGATCGTGGCGTCCGTCGTGGGGGTTTCCTAGTTGTCCGCTTCTTCCCTGCCCCTCCTTTCCCTCTTGTCTTCTCCTCTTCCTCCCCCCCCATGCTCGATTCCCTTTCCTTCCCTCTCCCCCCTGGACTTCGGTTTGCGGGGAAGGCCGTTGAGCGCCCTGAACGTTGGCTTCTTCGGCGCGGCGCCCACGAGCCAGGAGCCTATCATCTCGCTTCCTCGTCCCCCCTATCTTTCTCACCAGCATCCGCCTCGTCAACTCCCATGGGCTACCCAGAACCTGCCAGGTCAACGGCACAGTAAAGTGGGTTCGAATGCGCCGACATTCGCGAGTAACTTGCCCGCGTAAGGTCGCGCGTGAGCGCCCTCGTCTCCACTTTAGCGTGCCGCGCTGGCGGCTCCGCTCCCGCAACCCACCGCGTTAAGGCCGCTATACCTTTTCGCCCACCACGCTTTCTGAATTCAGGTTGCCTCCCATATGTGGTTTCTTGTTGGAACGAAATCGGCGGCGAGCGAGAGGGGGAAGTGAGAAGGAGAAGGCCTTGTCAGAAGATTTAGAAGTCCCACGGCCTTCTGAGAAGTTTTCTAAGCCTTCCCCGAAGATAAAGAACACTTCTCGGAGGTCGCGAGGGCTTTTGAGAAGTCCCGCCGCCTTCTGAGAAGGGCTTCTCCTTTTCATTCCCCCCTCGCTCGCCGCCGACGCATGGCTTTGACAGTAGTATTGCTCAAACAAGACAGAGCCAGGGGTTAGTGGGAGAGCCCGTGACCCTGGTCCCTCGGCTGGCCCTCGTGCTTCCCCGTCGGGGGTTGCCGGTGATGAGGGCGGGGCGGCCCGCTGCCGAGTGCGCCAGCTAGTCAGAAGGCGCTGGGTTTTGTCAGAGGACCTGTCAGAGTTCAGCAGGTCGGCTGTTTAGTCATCGTTAGGTGGTAGAACGGATGAGAACTCGGCGAGCTGTATCGGCATCGGTATCTCCTTCTCTCCCATCCCTCCCTCCCTCCATCCGCGTATCCTCCCTCTTCCCTCCTCCCCCATCCCACCCTCCCTCCTCATTTTTTTAACGACCCCTCATCGGTTCTGCCTCGTCCCGCTCTCCCTCCTCCCTCCCGAGGACGAGGAGAGTGGCGTTCCTGCGAGACTGGCGACGGGGTAGCCGACGCGTGTGGAGCGCACGCGTAATTCGGTAGGTCACCCGGCCACCCTTAAGGGGTCGAGCAGGGCTTCCGAGATAGCGGCCACCGATGAAGGGGGCATGCCTCTTCCTCCCGCTCCACGAGATTGGTCTTTTTACCGCTCCTTCCCAGCCTGCTCCTGCTCCTGCTCCTCCTCTCCCTTTTCGCTGTCCTCCTCCGTCCTGCACCCCCTTCCTCGCTCTCTCCCTCCCGATCCCCTTCCTCTTGCTCCTCTCCCGCCCTCGGATGAAGTCTGACCTCTTTGGTTTGTTGGCTGGCCGAAGTTTCGGGATTGGCGACGGGCGACCCTGGCGCGGTGGGTGGCATCTCGCCCCCTTGTGCGCTGTTTGTGCCGTCCCTTTGCGAGCTAGCGGTGTTGCCGCTTCCCTTCTGTCCCCCGTCTCCTCCCCTTGAGGCGTTCTGAACGTGGCAGCACCCTCCAGCTGCTGTGGTCCCCCTGCTCCTCCCCGTCAAGCGCCGCCCCAGCGGCTGCTGTGCCGCGGCGGGGCGCCCTGGGCGGGCCTCGCGCGCGCTCGGCGCGCCCCAGGCGTCGGCACCCGCGCGCGCGTCCGCGCGTCGGCGCTTCGGCGCCCACGCGCGCCGGGCGCCCTGCGCTCGCGCGCGGCACGCGGCGCGAGCCCGCGTGCAGCTCTCTCCTCCCGGCGACGTCTGCGAGCGCGGGCGCGGGCGCCGCCGCCGGCGCAGGGCCCCCGCGCTGCCCGCGCCCGGGCCTCCTCTCTCGCGGTGCCCCCGCGGCCTGGCCCGCGGTGCCCCCCGGCGCGCGGCGGCGTTCCTGCTGGGGCGGGCGGGCGCGTCGCCCTCGCCCTGGCGGGGGGGGGGGGGCCTCCCCCATGGGAGCTCGGGCTGCAGGCATCCCCCTCTGCGGGCGGGGGGTGTGCACCCACGGGGGGTGCGAGCGAAGCTCGTGCCGAACGGAAAGGGGGGGGAGAGGGAAAGGGGGGGTACGAAATCTGCTGCATGCCGCTGGTCTCGGCCCCGCCGCCTGGCCCACTCCTCGGCACATGGGCGCCTCACGGCGCCGGGAGGCGCTGGGAGAATCAGCTACGGGAGCTGATTCCCGACCCTACCCTTTGCTGTCCCCCCCTTTCGTTTCCCCCGAGAAACGGGCGCGGGAAGAACGGGCACGACGAGTCTAGGCCTCCCAGATGAGGTCCGAGCAGATGGGGTCGGAGGATCGCGCCGCATTGCCGATGCATTTGAGATGCGGCTCGACGTGAAGCCAGATTCTAGCCACGCCGACGGCGCCGACGCATCGCCGACTGCGATGGTGTATTGCCGATGCATCGGCGATGCATCGGTGATGTATCGGCGATGCGGCGCGATCCTCCGACCCCATCTACTCCGACCCCATTTGGGATGCCTCTCAAGATCGACAGCAGTTCCTGCCCATTTCGAGCAGGATACGATGCGGATGTCGCCACGGACGTTGTCGATTTGAGACAGAAGGCCGCCTGCACAACAGTGGTCGCTGTTGTCGGTTTTGGACAACGTTTTTCGTTCGGCCTTGTACCCATTTTTCCCGTGAACATGTCGGGAGTCCAAAGTGTATCCGTCCGTATGCATATGGTCTGGGAGTTTCGGGCACTCTTCCCCAGACACCCGCGGCGCAGTGGACGTGGATACAAACTCTGCCCCCAATACGCAAGATGTTTGTCCATATCCACGTCGCCATGACATTTTGGCGCCACTGCCCAGAAAGGCAGCGACGCAGTGGTTATGGATATTCATCTTGCCCGCACCCCTTTCCCTGCAGACGGTGGAAACGCAAGCCTCGAGCTCGCCGGAGCTCGGACTTCCGACGCCGACGCCCTTGCACGGGCCCGTCCACATCTTCGACGGCCCAGCTTTCGTGGGATGTGTTCGTGTGTGTGTGTGTACAGCTGACGAGCTCGCGTCAAGTTTTCAGATCGGGGTCCGTCACGTTCAAGGCGGCCCCGTCAGGCCAACCCGAGTCCCCTGAACCCGAGTCTCAGGTTATGATGTTCCAGCCTACTTTAGCCTTGATCACGAGGAAGAATTCCGAGCACCAGAAGAAATTACCGACACTGGAGGGTTTTCACGTGTCGGGCCTTGGGGGACGCTCGTCCGACACCGTTTCGACACTTCCTCGGCACCCTTTCGACACTTCTCCGGGTGCTCGAGCTTATTTCTGGGACGTGGTCTTCAGGTAAAATGGGAGCAACAGAAGTCTTAGGGCAGGTCGCCCCGAGCGCAGAGGATGCCCGCCCGTTCGGATGCAACTCCTGGGAGGTCCAATTCTGATTTTGCCCTGGTCCTTAATCCGGCTTAATCCGGCTTAATCCGGCTGAATCCCGATTGATCCAGCTTAATCCCGCTAACTCCCGCTTGATCCAAGGCCCACTCCGGCATAACAGCCCCAGAATGGGGCTTAATTCTTCTTAATCCTTCCGACGAAGACCTTCCAGTAGTTGCCTCCTAGCTCCCCCTGGGCCCGGCCCTACCACCTCTCGCAGGGAGCGGCAGCGCCTCCCCCACACGTGTGGTGTCGAGGCCTTGCACCTTGCGTGCTGCTGCTGTCCGCGCTCGCTGCGCGGGGGGGCGCCGCGCGCGGCCTCAGACGCCTCCGCTCCTGGAAGGCCCTGCACGGCGTCGGGCCGCCTCGCGATGCTCCTGCCGCCACCGACAGCAGTTTTCTCCCGGTACAAGCCGACTGCAACAAGGGGACATCTCACTTTGGGTCACACGCATGGCGCTCGATATGTGTATTTATATATATATATATATATATATGTACAAGGTTTATTTATTTATATTCATGTATATATATGTGTATATATATGATTCTACAGGCTTGCGCCACATCCGCCGACCCCTTCTGTGACTGTTGCGAGGACAGGAGTTTCTGGTCAGCGGCGTTTTGTGTGAGGGCGCGGTGTCGCGCGCGGGTGGTGGCAGATACGTAGGGGGTCCAAATGTTTGCGTGATGCCGGTGGTCTGGGGTGTGTTTTGCGAGCGCCTTGCGTGCTGTGCACCCGGGTGCGGGGTGTCCTTCTGGGAGGTCGGCCTTTCGACCCTCAACCAAATGGAGGAGCACCCGAAAACGAAAAGAGCAAGAGTAGCGTGCGGAAACTGTGATCAGCGAAGCGTCACCTCGAAAGATCTGGCAGATGAGTCGAAACGGGTGAAGAGGCTGTTGACGTTCGCAGCGCGCACGGAACAGTTCGCTTAGCAGCAGCACGCTCGCGCCGAACAAGATTGTGAGCACGTCGCGAGGAAGAGCAAGGCTGCATGCGCGGAGTGCATTGCAGTTGGCTTGACGGCTCGCAATGCGGAAGCGTCTCGGGGTCTTTTGGAGGCCTCCTGGGGGCCTCTTGGGGGTTCCTTGGGGCGTCTTGGCGGCCTCTTGGGGGCCTCTGGCGGCCTCTTGGGGCACTCTTGGGGCCCCCTGGGGCTCGTGGGGGCGGAAAGCTAGATTTTTGATTTTTTGGTTGCCCTCTTGGTCCCCTTTTGGCGCCGTCTTGGAGCCTTCTTGGGCCGTCTTGGGGACCTCTTGGGCCGTCTTGGGGCCATCTTGGGCCGTCGTGGGGCCGTCTTGGGGGCCTTTTGGGCCGTATTGGGGCGGTCTTCGGGGCCTCTTGGGCCGCCTTGGAGCGTCGGAAAACCCACGAGGCGAATTTGTGAAAACTATACGTTTTACGAAGGAAAGGAGCAGTTGTTTGCGTCTAGGGACCGTCTTGGGACGCATCTTTGAGGCCCCTTGGGGGCGTTTTGGGCCAGCTGGAGGCCACCTCGGGTGTCTTCGATCGCTCTTGGACCGTGTGGGACCATGATGAGCTAGTTCTCTGGGAAGCCACTTGGAGAGCTCCTGGAACGCTCTTGGGGCCGTCTTCGGGGCTCTCTTGGGCCGTCTTCGGCGCCTCTTGAGCCGTCTTGGCGCCCTCTTGGGCTGTCTTGGGGCCCTCTTGGGGGCTTATTGGACCGTCTTGGTGCGGTCTTGGGGGCCTCTTCGGCCGCCCGGGAGCGTCGGAAAGCTCAAAAAGCGAATGTGTAAAACATATACGTTTTACGAAGGGAACGGGCCAACTTTTTGCGTCTAGAGGCCCTCTTGGGGCGCATCTTGGATGCCTCTTGGGGCCTCTTGGGGGCATCTTGGACCGTCTGGAGGCCATCTTCGGTGTCTTTGATCGCTCTTGGACCGTCTGGGACCATAGCGAGCTCTCTTGGAGGCCACTCGGAACGCTCCTGGAGCGCTCTTGGGGCCGTCTTCGGGGCCCTCTTGGGCCGTCTTGGACGCCTGTTGGCCCGTCTTGGGGCCCTCCTGGGCTATTTTGGGACCCTCTTGGAGGCTTTTTGGGCCGTCTTGGGGCGGTCTTGGGGGCCTCATTGGGCCGTCTGGGAGCATCGGAAAACCCAGCAGGCGAACTTGTGAACCATATACGTTTAACGGAGGGAATGGGCAAATTTATGCGTCTAGGGACCCTGACGGGACGCATCTTAGAGGCCTCTTGGGGCCTCGTGGGGACCTCTTGTGCCGTCTAGGAGGCCTCGTAGCCCGTCTTTGGGCCACCTTGGGCGTCTTGGAGCGCCCGTTTGGCGTCCCGGGGCCATTTCGAGGCCACCGGAGGAGTCCTTGCAGGATTTTCGGGGGCGGATGACCCCCCCGGGGGAATCGGGGGAATCGGGGAATTTGGCCGGACCCCCCCCCTCCAAATCGACCGGACCGGGCTCCCGGGGGAGGGTTTTGGGGAGGGGGTCTACACACACACACACACTCACACACACACACATATATATATATATATATATATATATATATATATAGGTGTGTATATATATATATATGTATATATGTATATGTGTATATGTATATGTATGTATATATATATACATATATGTGTATATATATATAATATTTCCAGAGTGGCGGCATGGAGGGGGCTGGCTCCCGGCCCTGCCGCGACGTGGGGCCATTCCTATACCCTCGCCTCCAGGGCCACGGCTCTCCTCGTTCCGCCCAGCTCGGCTCTGCCCTGCCCGCAGCAGGGCCATCCGTGCCTCCTCCGACCAGCGCGTGCTTCGTCGCTTGTCGTCGGCACGCGCCCGCCACCAATTCGAATCCAGCAGGCCCGTCACCTCGGCTCTTTGCCCGAGCCCTCTGCGCACCCGTACCCCCCCCCCTCCCCCCTCCTCGTTGTTTTCTGCCCCTGCTGCTGCCGCTGCTCGCGCTGTTGATCTCTCCCCTGTGAGACTGTTTTTGTTAGGGTCGGGCGATAACCCGGTTTGTCGGGCTTGCCCCCCCCCCCCCCTCCCCAGGATAACCTAACCTTGCCGTTTGTGCAGGTCCGCGGGAGGGGGGGCGCGGGCATATGCAGGGCTGCCCACAGCGCGAGGGTAAGGTTATCGGCCGGCCCCCTCCTCCCCCCCCGGGAGAATCCGGGTTATCGCCGATTCCAGAAAAAAACGGTTTCCTTCCCTCTCCCCCTACATCTTTGACATCCGGTGGGTCCGTCGTGGCATTGGGCCGCGAGCAGTAGCAGCGTGCAAATGCGACTCCAGACCCGCTGCCGACCGCGCGGCGGGAGTGCACGACAGAATATGGGAGGCTCGCGCCAAGATTCCGCCTGTTGGCCAGGCCTCCTCCAGCCTTCCCTGATGTGAGCTGGGGTCCTCGCGTCGCACCGTGTCACCGAGGCATCGGGTAACGCGGCGCGATCCAGGACACCATTTTTCTACATTTCGACCTCGCCGGCTCATCGTCAATGCCCCACGCAGGATTCCTCTACTCTCGGAGCTGTTTTTCCTGACAGTTTGTGCCCTTCAACGCTCGCACCAGTATATTTTTCGTTGTGACGTACCCCAAACAATCTGCATTAAGTGGGGGCCCGAAGAATATACACCACATCCACGTCGATTCCTCCTCTCTCCTCTTTCCAGCGAGACGGAGGGGGAGAGGCAGGTGGTGGTGATGTATATTTTTGCGCCCCCGATTAAGTGACACGAGGAGTTGGTCTGGAATGGCGTGGCTGATGACGACGCAGGGCCTGTCACTGGTCGTGCAGACTGCATGGGTAGGAGCGCGTGGCACGACCCGCAGGGGCCGCAACAGAAGGACGAGGGCCGGGGCCGCAGGCCCGAATCAGAAAGGGTGGGAACGGTGGCGGGGAAAAGGATGGAAGAGGGTCGGGTATAGCCAGGACCCCAGGTAAGGGGACCCGGTTAGTGGTAGGGCCTCGGGGCCCTTGAATTGGCCAGAATCACTAAACCAGGTCCGCCGTAGCTGGCGTTTTCCAGGTGACGACAGTTCTGGTTAGTGCAACGGGGCGGGGGGGGTCTCTCCCAGTACACATCACTGAACCAGGTTCCACTAAACCCAGGGGGCGAACAGTCAATCGGCACGAACGACATGGGTACGGAAAGAAGGAGTGCAAAGTCCAATCGCAGTTCCTGCTCATTTTGAGCAGGACTCACTGTCTGTGTCGCCGCGGCCTGTGCACACTTGAGACAGACGGCCGCCTGCCGAACAGCGGCCGCTGTTGGTCTGGGACAACATTTGTTGTTGGGCATTGTGCCAATTTTTCCCGTGCCCATCTCGGGCGTCCAATGTCAACGCGACAGCAGCACTGCCTTCCTGCACCCTGGAGTGCAGGAGCTGAACGCCCACAAGCGCGCAATCAGGTCTTCGATCGGGCTGCGGGAGAGGAAACCCATGCTCATCTGAGCCCGCGTAGGCCGCCACGCCGCTGGACCCTCCTACCAGCCCTCGAGAGCGGCGACTGTTTCGCAGATCTAGTTTCTTCGCTGGGCCCCCCAGCACCCCGCGAAAATGGCGACAGCTTCGCAAATCGCAAGCCCTCCAGGGATGGCGAGGTCTAATCTGAATCCCCGGAGAAACGTCGCTCCGCTGGACCCCCCGCAGCCTTTTAGAAAGCGGCGACAGTTTCCCACATCGCAAGCCCCCAAGGGATGGCGAGGTCTAGTTCGAATCCCTGGCGGGACGTCAGTCCGCTGGACTCCCCAGCAGCCGCCCAACATGTTGACATTTCCCATAATTCTCCTTTCTAAAAAGAGAATAGACTCGACCCCCCCGTACTTATCGGCTCCCCCTGGGATAGTAGGATTTCATATATATATATATATATATATATATATATATATATATATTCTGCACACTCGTCCATCCTAAATTTGAAATCGTATCATCCCAGCCAAACCGGGTTCCCCCCCCTGAGGTTCTATTGTAAAAAACATTATGCGGTGACATTTTTTGTTTTAACTTAACACTTTTTCGCGAATCCCTTGCAAACAAATGGACAAAGTGCACACGCGCGCGTCGTCGCGGGCGCATGCCGAAAACCATCAAAAACCTTAGGTGCCTGAAGGATTTCGCAATCGAGTTTCCAAAACACATACAAAAACATATGGTTTCGCAACGCTGATTTGCTAAACAAGCTTCCGCGCGAGCTCGTGCGAAATCTTAAGAAAACCATAGGTCTTTCAATATTTTCACAACATGCTACCAAACGGGCTTCGCGCGCGCGCGCATGTCGAAATCTGTCGAACTCCCTTGCGCGTGTGCCGTTGCGAGAATCCTCTGCAAAACATGGGACGAAGTGCAGACGCGCGCGTCGTCGCGGGCGTATGCCGAAAACCTTCAAAACCCATCGGCTTCGGAAGGATTTCAAAATCGTGCGTCCAAAAAACCTACAACAACCCAAGGTTTCGCAACACGGATTTTCAGCAAAAGCGTGCGCGCGCGCTCTTGCATCTTCGTCGTCGTCGTCGTCGCCGTCCTCCCTCCTCCCGCGTCGTCGTCGTCGTCGTCGCCTACGTCGTCCTCCGTCTTTTCTCGTGTTCGTCGTCGTCGTCCTCTTTGGCGTCGTGGTCGTTTCTGTCGTCGTTGTCGCCGTGGTCGTCCTTCATCCTCCTCCCACGTCGTCGTCGTCGTCCGTCGTCGGCGTCTCGTCGTCGTCCCTCCTATTTCGTCGCCGTCGTCGTCGTCGTTGTCGTCGTCGTCTTCCCTCCTCCCTCGTCGTTGTCGTCGTCGGCGTCGCCGTCCTTCCTCCTTCGTCGTCGTTCGCGTCGTCGCCGTACTCCCTCCTCCCTCGTCGTTGTCGTCGTTGTCGTCGTTGTCGCCGTCGTCGTCCTGCCTCCTCCCTCGTCGTCGCCTTCGTTGGCGTCGTCGTCGTCGTCTTCGTTGTCGTTGGCGTCGGCGTCGTTGCCGTCGTCGAAGTCGTCGGAGACGTCGTCGGTGTCGTCCTAGTCGTTGTCGTTGGTGTCGTCGTAGTCGGTCTGAACAGGTTTTGCAAACCAAGTTGCGGGTGGGTGGGTGGGATGTTTGCGCGAGCAGTGGAGATGACGACTTCAAGTTCAGCAGAGTGGATCACAGCCCCATAGGATGGCGAGGTCTAATCAGCATTCCCAGTCAGACGTCATTCCGTTGGACCCCCCAGGGTCCCTGGAAAATGGTGACAGTTTCGCAGTAGCAGCGCTCCAGGGATGGCGAGGTCTAGTCTGAAACCACGGTAAGACGTGACTCCGCTGGACCCCCCCCAGCCGTCGAAAGTGGCGCCAGTTTCGCAGATCGCACCCCCTCCAGGGATGGAGAGTTTTAATCTGAATCCCTGGTGAGACGTCGCACCGCCGCCGGACCCCCAACTTCTTTGAAACGTGGAATCCGTTTCGCAGATTGCCCCCCCAAGGATGGAGGGGTGTAATTTGAATTCCGGGTCAAACGTCACTCCGTTGGATCCCCCCGCAGTGTCTGGCAGATCACAGCACCCCAGGGATGGCGAGGGCTAGTAGAGTCTCCAGACATGTCATTCCGCTGAATTCCCAAAGCGGCCGTCGAAAGTGGCGACAGTTTCGCAAATCGCCAGCCCCAGGGATGGCGAGGTCTAGTCTGCATCCCTGGTAAAACGTCACTCCGTTGGACCCCCCAGCAGCCCGCGAAAGTAGCGGTCGTTTCGCAGATCGCAGCCCCCCCAGGAATGGAGAGGTTTAATCTGATTCTTTGGTAGAAACCAACGCTGGAGGGCTGGAGGAAAGAACACATCACTTCAGGGAAGTTTTGATGCTGAAGCTGGGCTGTTGGGCCCCCAGGCTACACCAACAACGGCTCTCGCCTGGTATTCCCCCTAGTGTACGCAGGGACGGCGCTCTGGCTAGATATGTCAACTCAACTTGCTCAAGGATCGGTCTCGCCTTTGGCTGCCATTGCAGTGTTACCCGTTCGCCTTTCAGGAATCGGGATCTCGTCTGGACCGCTCTTTTGACGTTCATGCAACGAGCCGCCTTCCTGTCTGGGGCATCTTTACGCATCGCTAGGGGACTTCGCTTTTGCGTGGGGCTTCTCGATTGAGAATTTGCTCAAGCATCGCGCCTGGTGCTTCCCCGCCGCCATCTTGAATGTCCCGCCCGCCTGACCCGCCCGTCCGGGTCCTCCCGCCCATCCCGCTCGTCAAGGTCTGGGCCCCCGACCAGCCTCTGGGATCTGCTCCCCCGACGTGCCCGTCGTCACTCGCCCGCCCGACCCCGACGCGCCCACTCGCTGATGCCCCGACCGCCCGTCCCGCCCGGCTGGGTCTGCCGGTCTCTTGGCTTGTCTCGCCCGCGCGTTCCGCCGGTTCGGATCCGCCCGCCCCGCTCGCCCGCCGAGGACCCGCCAGCAGGGCCCGTGTGCCCAGGACCAGGGTGGCCCTGGCTTGGCACGGTGGTGGTGTGTGCGGATGCCTTCTGCGTCCTCCACTGAGCGACAGAAGGAAAGGGTTTCGTCTTCGCCGACATTGGCGCGTAAGCTGCCCGCGTAAGGTCGAGCGTAGGCGCCCTCGCTTCCAGTGTAGCGTGCCGCGCTGACGGCCCGCGCCAGCCTCGGCGTAAGGTCGCTATCTCACGCACGGTGGCCGCGTAAGGCCGCGGCCGGCGTAAGACGGGTTCCTTTTCGTCGTCCACTTACCGGTGGGAATCAGGCCGGTGGGTGGTGGTGGACAATTTGCATGGGATGATGGGCTTGTTTTCCACCACCACCTCCATAAGTTGGAGGGCGAGGGGGTTCCTCCTCCTCCTCCTCCTCCTCGTCCTCTTATTTTTCCTCCTCATCTTCCACCTCCTTCCTCCTCAAACTTATGGTGGTGGTGGTTGAAAGCAGGCCCGTCATGGGATGTGTCGAGGATGGGGTTGGGGGAAGACGAGGAGCCCAGCTTAGGGGGTCCCGGCGCCTCCCTACAGAATCTCCAACCCGCTGGAGTTTCGACAGGGTCGCTGCCGTTATAGCGGAAGCCTGCGTCCCCAGCGCAGTGGATGATCGAGAGCGCACCGCCACGCACGCCTCGAGGTCTCCAGCAGGCGGGGCCTGCGGGTTTCTGTGATCGGGGGCGCGCGCCTTCCTCGCTTCCCCTCTCACCGTCCTCTCCGTTCCCGCGTCGAGAGAGAGAGAGGGGGGCGGAGAGGGTGTCGAGACAGGGGTCGGGTGTGAGAGGGAGGGGCAGGACCTGGGAGGGGAGCGAGGGACTGAGGAGGGGGGGCGGAGAGCGCAGGGATTGCACGCCTCGAGCATGGCAGCAGCACGTGTTGTCACAAGGAAGACGGCAAGCGAGACCATGCGGGATACAAGGAGACAGCGAATGAGCACAGGCGGGTGACCATGCGGGAAGCGATACGGGAGACCGTGCGGGATACCACATGGAAGAGCATGCGGGAGATCGTGCGGGAGTGCGTAGGGAAGACCATTCGAGACACCTCGCGGGAGACCCGACGGGAGACCGTACCTCAAACCCAACCGGACACCGTGCGGGAAACCGCGAGCCAGACCATGGACGAGACCACGCGGGGGACCGTGCGGGAGACCACGCTGCGGACAATGCGGGAGACCGTACGGGAGAGCTCGTGGGAGACCGCAGCGGAGACCGTGGCACCATGTCGTACGGGAGGCCAGATGGGGCCACACGAGAGACCGTGCGGGAAGCCATGCGGGAGGCCATGCGGAAGGCCAGATTGGAGGCCTCACGGCAAGACGGAAGACTACGCGGGGGACCATGCGGGAGGCCACGCGGGAGGAGACCCAACGGGAGCCCATACGGGAGACCAGACGCCATGCCGAATGCCGTGCACCACGCGGGAGACCATGCCCCACCGATTCCGGATCCGGCAGAGCACCTCTTCGCTCCTCGAAGGTGTCGTCTAGGTATTTGGCAGACGCGCTGTGAGTCAGGAGGGGGAACAACACACAGACTCAATTAATGATCGATTCCCTAGAGAATATGGGAAAATGTGGGAAGTGGGGGAGGCAGACGAAAATCCAAAAAATGTGGAACAAATATGGGGAATCCTGTTATTGTAAGAGTGGGGAGGGGACTTTTTTGAGGGGGGTCCGTCGAGAACCCATACGAGATCGGGCCCGGGGGTACGCAGGTCGGAGGCGGTACGCAGCAGGTGGTGCGCGCGGGCGTGCGCGGGGCAGTCACCTCCCTCCCGCCACGGGGTTGCCACCTCCTCCACCCTCCTCCTCCTGCTCCTCCTGCTCCTCCTCCTCCTTCTCCTTCGGGAGGGGTGGGGGTAGGAGGGTGCCCTCCAACCCCCCCCGCCCCTCCACCGCGGACGACCTGCCCGGCAGACCGCGGGCGCACCGCCGCCTGCCCCCTGGGCGCGCGGCGAGAGCGGCGCGCTGCGCCGACGGCGACGCCCGCGGCGAACGCGCACGAGCGACGACGACCGACGACGACGGCCGACGACGGACGACGACGACGACGACGACGACGACGACCATAACGACGACGACGGACGACGACGACGACCGACGACGACGGACGTCGAAGACGACGGACGACCACGACCACGACCACGACGACCACGACCACGACCGACCACGACCGACGACGGCGACCGACGAGGACGAAAGGGACGGCGGACGACGAAGATGGACCACGACGACGACGACGTTTACGTCGACCGACAACGACGACGACGACGACCGACGAGGACAAGGAGGACCACGACGACCGACGACGACGACGGCCGACGACGACGACGATCACGGACGACGACGACCGACGACGACTGACGACGAGCGATGACGATGACGACGACGACGACCACAACGACCGATGACGCCGACGACGACAGACGACGACGACGAAGGATGACGACGACGACGCTCACGACGACCAACGACCACGACGACCGACGACGACGACGAAAAGGACGACGACGACGTCGACGACGACGACGACGACGGACGACAACGACGACAGAAGACAATTAAGGACATCGACGACGATGGCCACGACGACGACGACTACCACCACGACGACCGACGACGACGACCGACGACGATGACGACGTCGGACTACGACGACGACGACCACGTCGACCTCGACGACCGACGACGACCAACGACCGAGTACGACGACGACGACCACAACAAACGACCACGACGACCACGACCGACGACGATGACCGACGACGACGACGACGCCGACGACCGGCGACGTCGACCGACGACAACGAAATGGACGACGGACGACGACGATGGACGACGACGACGACGTTCACGACGACCGACGACGACGTTGACCGACGACGAAGACGGCGACCACGACGACGGACGACGACGACGACGACGCCAGCCGACGACGAAGATGACAAAGAGTGATGACGACGACTACCACGATGACAACGACGACCGACGACCGATGACGACGACGATGACGACCACAACGACCGACGACGACGACGACGACGGCCGACGACGAGGACCGACGACGACGACGACGAACAACGACGACGACCGACGACGACGAAAAGGATGACGTCATCGACCGACGACGACGAAGTCGACCACAACGATCGACGACATCGACAAGGACGACGACGACGACGACGTCGACGACGACGATGGATGACGACGACGACGACTGACGACGACGTACGACGACGATCGACGACGACGACGTCCACCACCACGACGACCGACGTCGACGACGACCGACGCCCGACGACGACGACGACGACGACGACGACGGACGTCGACGACGACGGACGACGCCGGCCACGACTTCCACGACGACCGACGACCACCGACGACCGAAGACGACGACGACGACCACGTCGACCGACGAAGACGTCCGTAGCCATTTTGGCTCAAGGCCATGGCGATCCCGACGACCGCGAGTCCTTCGGGCGCTGTCGAGCGCGAGGGACGCCGCGCCCTGGGCCAGCTTCTTGCTTCGTGGTTTCGATGCAGCGTGGCCAGGCGGAGCGCGCGGGGCCAGCAGCCATGTCGGGCGACGGAACTGGAGCGCCGCCAACCTGGAGGCGCAGGGTGTACTGGGTCTGCCTGTGCAAGGAGTGGAACAGGTGTGACAAGAGGGCGACCTGCAAGTCGTGCGGGAAGGAGGCGCCAGCGTGGGCGAAGCGCCTGCGCGCGGTGCACCTGTTCCAGGCCGACGGGGAGGGCTTCGTCCAGCAGCCCAGGGGGCGGTCGCACCAGCGTGCAGCGCGCCGAGCTGGTGACGCCTCCAGGACAGCCTCGGCCGCCAGCACCGTGCCGAGCAGCGCGCCCAACAGCAGGGGGCGGCCGCGGGGCGGAGCCAAGCCGCCGCCTTGGCGTGAGGAGCGCGAGGAGCAACCAGAGGAGCCCGCGTCGAGTCTGGAGCGCAGGTTCGAGGAGGCCCAGGCTCGCATCTCCAGCCTCCGTGAGGCGGTCGCCATGGAGGGGGCCAGCGAGGCCTTCCAGCGAGAGGCCAGGGCGGCCCTCCTCGCAGCGGAGGCTTCGGCCGAGAGGGCAGAGGCCGAGCTCCGCGAGGCCCAGCGGCTCGGGAGGCCCCCCCACGCCGTCCTCCACGGAGGCGCCAACGCCATGCAGAAGGTCGAGAAGCAGATCACTGCAACCAGAGCCAAGCGTGAGCAGGCCGTGCAGCGGGCTGAGACCCTCAGGGGGAAGATTGCGGCGATGCAAGAAGAGCTGGCCGAGGCCGAGTCTGCGGTTGAGGACTTCGACAGCCAGCTCGGCAAGCTCGAGGAGTCGAAGGCTCAGACGGTCCAGCAGGCGCCCCAGCGGGCCATTGAGGTGTGCGGAGGCCAGCGGCCCCTCGAGACAGCGGTCGGGGGCCTCGTCACCCAGGTCAGCCAGCTGGGTGAGATGCTCTGCCGCAACTCGGATGGCGTCGCGCCCAGGCTCCTGGAAATCATGGACATCATCACCACGCAGAGCGCAGCCATCTCGGACATGCTCCACCCCGCTGCGCCTGCTGCCGCGGCCTCGCGCTGGGCCGACGGCCTTGGCGGAGACGGGCTCGCCGTCGACGGCGAGGAAGGCCCCCCCGCCCCAGCCGCTGGAGCCTCTGCCCCCGCGGTGCAGCGGCCGCCAGCGGAGGCCGCAGGGCAGCAGGTGCGGCCATGCCCGCCCACCCAGCGGGCGAGCCCAGCAGTGGGGCCCTACGGGCCAGCCGCCGCCCGCGGGCAGTCAGGCGCGGCGCTCGGCGCTTGGCCCCAGCCTGGCAAGGCCGAGCGCATAATCCTTGGGGATGCCAGGGACGAGCACGAGGATGGCCAGGCCTTGGCTACCCTGGCAGCTGCTGGGGGCTACGCTCCTATGGGCCCTCGTCGCTCCTAGCCGCTCGGCAGCTGCGACAGCCTGGGGACCCGCGCCGCCGCCGCCGTCAGACTGGCCGTCCTTGCACCAGACGCGAGGGGAGCCGCGGCGGCAAGGCGGCCCCGCTCCTGGGCCGAGGTGCGGTCGGGACCGCCGAGGCGCCCCCCCGACGGCCTCGCGCGGGCAGAAGGCGGGAGGATTCAGCCCTCCGACGTCGCAGCCGTCTGCCCCGCCCCTTGGGAGTCGCGGAGCCGCTGCTGGGTGCACGCCAGCCGCCCTTGAGGCGAGAGTGGGCGGGGCTGTGCCAGCTTGTGAGAGGGCTGCCGGGCAGCTCCGTGCAGGCTTCGACGCGCTGGACATCTACGGCAACGCATGGGACCATGCCATGGAGGTGCTCGGGGCCTACATCGTGCGGGAGGGCGCGCGCCCGCACCTCGTCACGGCCCAGGAGGGTCCCCTTGGGCCCCGCCAGCTGGAGAATGCTAGCCGCCGGGCTCGCGGCTTGGGTTATGCGGCCTCCTTGCATGATGCGGCGCCCACTGGACAGGCGGCCCCTGCCCACTCAGGGGGCGTCGGAGTACTTGCTCGTGAGGCCCTTCAGGCGCGTGAAGCTCAGTGGCGAGAGCCAGGGGACTTCAAGCACCACATGATCGCCGAGGGCCTGATCCACAAGGCTGGGCCTACGTCCAGTGTGATATGGGGGCGGACGGTTACTGGCGCGGCCGACGGAGAGTTCCGCGGTGGGCGAGTCACCGCGTGCCCCTGTGCGGGGCGGCTCCCCCGCGGCGCGGCCCTCTGCCTCAGGCTGCGGTGCGCGGAGCTCCGCAGGGGCCTCGACCTGGATCCGCTCGTGCTGATCACGGACCGCACGCCCCATATTCTTGCAGGGTGGTTGCACTCGGGCGAGCTTCCCCTGCCGATGCTCAGGGGAGCGCTCGAGGCTGCAGCCTCGCGGCAGGCGTCAGCAGCGGTGCCCTGGGTGCACCGCAACTTCCCCGTGGATGCAGTTGTCCTCACCCTGGGCAGGATCGGCTGGTACTTCAGGTCCGAGCGGTGCCTCATCACGGACGTCGGGGACGTGCTGGACTTGACGCTGATGGGGCTGCGTGAGCTCGGCCGTGAGGCCAGCCTTGGGGCGTGGCGCGCCTCGGATCGGCATGAGATGCGAAAGCTGGCCAGTGCCTCTTCCTTGTATGGTTCTTTCGTTTGGGATGCCGTCAAGGAGCTCATCGGGCCAGGAGGCAAGCTCAGCGAGCGCGAGAGGATCGGGATGGTCTCCCACCTCACGAACGCGCACTGGCCGCAGGCGAGGCTCCACGGCGCCAGCGGACGCGGCCACGCCCGCTGCAGGCGCCTCTGGCACAGGAGGCTCGAGTCCCCCATGCTTGCGGCCCAGCGGAGGGACTCGGCCTCGCCAGCGCTGATGTGGAGCGCCGTGCGGGTTCGCGCCCTCGGAGAGGCAGCAGGGGGGGACGTTGCTCGGAGCTGGTTGTCAGCGCCGCCGCCTCCTCAAGGGCCTCGCACGGACGCCATGAGTGTCTGGTGGACATGCAGGTCGCCCGACGTCAAGCCCAATGGCAAGCTGTACGTGGACGGCTCGTCGGTCGACCCGCAGTTCTGCGCTTTGGGACACGCGGGCTGGGCGATTGCTCAATGCGACGACGACGGCAGCCTCATCGCGGGCGTCTACGGGACCGTCAGGAGGGTCCTCCGTCCACAGCAGGCGGCTCGCGGCGGTGAGGACTTTGCGGTCTGGAAGATGGTGAGCGACGCGGGCCCTGCAGTCGAGGAGGTCCGCATCGACTGCCACGGCACGGCCGAGTGCCCGCGTAGGGGGCTGGCCTATGCGGCGGGCCCGACCAAGGCCAACGCCCACCTCTGGAGCGGGAGCCTCGCCGCCCCCGAGCCTGGCGGCTCCAGGGTGAACAAGGTGGCCGCCCACGGCAGCAGGCAGACGGTGCTCGACGGGCGACTCACGGAGGCGCAGAGGCGCAGCGCCCTGCGCGCCTGCCGCTCCGCCAAGCTGGTATCACGGCTGCACGCCGAGGACGCCCAGACCGTGGGCGAACACAGCGCCTTGGCGGGCTTCGCCCAGGAGCAGGCCCG